CGATGGGAAGTTTTAAAACTAATGTGAGAGAAAGAAGTTGGCAAGGTTTTATTTAAAATAACTTTCTCCTAACTCCCTAAAAGTGGTCCAATGAAAGAAAAAACTGAGAGAAGTGATGGAGGAGGGCATTCCTGATGAGTAGCTTCAGATGAGTGAAGAGGGCCTAGGGGAAAGAAAAGGTGTCAGGAGCAGCTGGGATGGCTGTGGGAGGTATGCAGAGAATCAGGAATCTGCATTGTTTAGTTAGGCATGAGGAACCACAGAAGATATTTTAGGAGCATGTGCAGGGAATGTTTTTTGCAACAGGGCACTGAGAAAAGTGTAATGCAGGTTCCAGCTGGAGCTTGGAGAGGAGGTTACCCACAGTGAGGAGATGGGTAGCAAAGACTTTTTTTAAAAGGGAATTAAAAAAAAAATTCAAGGAGAGTTTAATAATTATTGTTAGACTCTTAAGGTTTGCAAAACCTTTCTTATTGACATTGGTTATGTTATGCTCATTTATACTGGCTGAAAGTCTTGCTGGTGAGATGGAAAGGCCCTGTGCTTTGTGCCAAAGGATCAAGACAACATGTAGCCAGTCCAGGATGGCTGGGGAGAGGAGTAAACTCTGCTCTATATTTCTTGGCCTCGGGTCTGAGACCTGGGCCAATGCCAATTAAATTGGTGAGGGCACAGACAAGGTTAATTATAAAGTTAATCTCTCATTGCTGATTGGTGAGGGATCCTCTCAACTTGCAACTTTCGTCCATTTGCAGTTATCAGAAACATGAAGCAGAAGGAGGCATCCACCTTATTTCCAGCCTGACTTCCATCACAGTAGGGATATTATACAAAAGTATCACTCTTTTTGCTCTTATGTGCTGCATTTCTCCCAGAAGGATGACAATTTTCTTAGACTAAAAAGGGCTTTCTAGAAGTAACCTTGGAAAATTGAAAGCTGGTCTCAGGGCAGTTAGTAGTTTATATTTAATCAGTGAAAATTCACTTGCCTCTTTTCCTTACCTCAGTCCCACCTTCTTTTGGCTGGGACCGAGGAGTGGGGCATCATGCACCCAAACAGCATGATTAGAGCTTAAGAACCCCACAACTAAAGTGAGTTTTTAAACTGTGCAACCAGAGAAAGAAGAAATAGAACAACAAAGCAGCATCACAACCTGTGTATTCCCTCTCTACACGAGTCCTTTGGGTCATGAAGGATGGGGCTGTCTCAAGAAGAGCTGCCTTTTTGACCCAGCGGAGGAACCAGGAAGCAATAACCTGCCGAGGGATGGCCACACTTTTTGCCAACTGCATCCACAGGTTTCATTGCTGGAATTTAAGATGGCTGATTTCTTAACTCCCTGAAACAGGCTACTGACAAAATCAGTCATGTTGGAAGTTTGTCTTCAGTGTGTGTAAGCCCCAAATGTTCACTGAACGGAAGGGAAGAGAGGGACAAAGATGAGGAGGAGCTATGGCTGGGCATGCCCTTTGCCATTACACTCCCCAGTGCCCTGACGTGCTGCCACCGTGAGAGCACACACACACTCCACACACTGCACTTGCTAATGCAGATCTTGGGAGAAATCACAGGAACTGAAATAGCTTTTTGCATCTGCTGAAAGGAAAGAAATCTTCCCTCCTGCTCCTGCATGGCAACATCTCTTCTTTGCAGTCTGTCCTGTAAAATACAAACATGTAAATGCTCCTCTCTGGCCTGTTACTCCAAGTGGAAAGAGAGATATACGAAAATGATGTAAATCACCAAGAAATACTTTGACAGCTGGCACCTGATTCTCTCCCAAGTGCCCTGGTGGTCACTCTTCGGCAGCTCTTTGCTGATTAATGAGGACTGCTAAGAGAAAGCATGTGTGACATCTTCTACAGAGTGCAATAAAAGGAGGAAAGTGCCCTGTGTGGCTGGAACTGTAGTCTGTCTCTGAGATGCTCCATTAGGCTGCTCCTGGCAGTGATGATACAGAAACAGGAAATCCCCAATTGCACCATTAATATGAATAGATTAGAAAAAAAACCATGGAATTTAACAGGGAGCCAGTGAGCCTGTGCTATTTTTTCTTTTCTTTTTGCCTCTTCCCCCCCTTTTTTTTCCACCCCTCTGCTTCAATGAAAGCTCAGTAGAGGGGAAGGATGAATCTGTTCCTTTGCATATTGGCATAGGCTGCACAAAACCACAGCTCTGCTTTTGTTTGAGTTCCCCTACATTTTGTTAGATCCAGATTTGCTTCTTAAGCTGAAACCTTTGGGTTGCTCTCCGGCTGTGTTTTTGACTCCACTGTCTGATATTTGTGATTGACCAGACTACTATTCATGGCCTCTCCCCTGTTTATTTTAAAAGAATGTCTGCTGACACTTCTGCCAGACCTAGGGGAAGGTCCTTCCTTCATAATAAATAATAATGGCCTGATAAAAAACTGTCCTTCCTTGCAGAAAGATGGATTAAGTTCTTGTTTTGAAATGCAGTCTGAATGGTCCTGATGTATTGAAATGTTACAGCAAATGTAAGCAGACGAGTCAATTTACAGCTTTCATACTACATTTTAAGAAACAAAACAAGCAGACGACAACACAATAAATCTGCTTGGTGTCTTTGTCTGGTTGATGTTAACTGAATGCAGTTGTATTAGATAACTGGACGATGCAGCTTTCTAAAAAAAATAGGAAATGCACAAATTTTATCATGAACATGAATTTGTCTAAAGGAGAGGATAGACTTAAACAATATATTCTTTGGGAAAAATGTCTGTGAGCCAATGAAGAAGCATTGCTGTATGTATTACCCTGGGTGTGCAATTCTAAATTCTTATTGGAATAACCCTGATTATTCTGATATTGGAATACTTCTAGAAAAGGAATTATAATATTCAGGGTTCAAGGGACCAAAATGGAAAAGAAGTTTCATTTTTGGATAAATTATTTTTGAAAAATAGGTATTTTTAGTTTAACTGTCACAGTTAAGTGTATAAAATCTCTATTTTAAAGGTAAAGCACTGCTTTAAGAGACAAGGTTTAGTATAAAACAAAACATTAACTTGGAGTTTAGTAAATATGTCTGGAGATCCTGGGATTTTTGGCAGAGTGTAACTCCTAGAATAGTGTGAGTGTTTCTCTTTTGTTTATATGCCTTCATACAAAAATGGGCAAAAGAAGTAGGCTGCAAGTGAAAGCAGAAGAAAACACATAGAGATATCAAAATAGGTTAGCATCTGATTTCAGATTTAGGAATGAATATATGCATATGCACACATAAATGCACATGTGAAGGCACACACACACTATGTATATGGAATATATGTAAATGCTTATTTTTATATATATATATTATATTTATTTACATAGGCTTAAATAAAAGCAGGAGATGTTTGAGTTGGATACTAAAAATGCTTTTTCATGGTGACACTTTTCTAATAGTACTGTGGAGCAGGAGGGTCACCTGAGAAGGTGCAGAATTTCCTGTACTGGTGGGGTTACGATGGATAAAAGTAAAAGGTGTGACATAAGTGGGATTGCTAATCCCACTTTGGTGTAGAAGAATGGACTAGGAATCTTTGAGGACTCTGTCAGACAGCATTATTTTCTGTGACTCTAAGATATGGGCAAAGAATAGGTTAGATGTCACACTTCCATCTCTGATGAAGTATAAGAAAAATAGCCTGTGATCTGTGATGTAAAGAGACTCATTACTGAGCACATGAACAGCTCCTACTTAGCTCATCTACTTTCTCTTTCAAGAGAAAATGTGGGTTTGATGGAACTCCCTAGCAGAGCAGCCAAGTTGTGTAGACAGGCCTGATCAACCCATTTCTCCCGTGCTTTACTTCTTTATATTCTGACTTACATCCCCTTTATAGCCTTTGGCTAGGCTTTGTGTCTCTAAAGCTATTAGTAAAAACAATTATCTAAATATATATTACAGATGTACAGCTTTGGGACAGCACACTGACTCAGAATTGTCTTCAAACTGCTCTGTCACATTATTCCACCCGCATCTAGATTGCATATTGAGTCATATTGACAGTGTTGGCTATAAAGTAAGAGACCTTCAGTAAAGGACATTTTAAAAAACCCTGTAATTTTTCTCCAGTCTTTCAGAATGTCTTTATGGACTGGTATCAGATTGAGTAGATTTTAGACAATATCACAGGGGTTTTGCATCATTTATAGGATGCAGCATAGATAACAGACCAAGGACTGAAAGCTGCTGGAATCAGGTTCTACAACTGCTGTGTTGCTGTAGGCAACTCACTTTTATTCTCTCCTTACCTCAGTTTCCCCATCTTTAAAACTGGGATGATAAAGGTTGTGTGCCTCTTATAGGGACTGGAATGACCATAATCATCAATTGAACAGCATTTAGGAAATATAGTATGATAAACCAGTGCAGAGTTTTATTCAGAACCCTTACTGTAATATCATTCTTAACATTACACTTTGTTATGTTTTATCAACTGTTTTAAAATTTTGTCATGAGCCAAGTAATAGAATGAATTGTAAAGAGAAAGTTGTTGACACCACAGAAAGTGAGTTTTACCTATTCTTTAACCAGCCCATTTTCAACTTTCCGCAAACATGGATCCCAGATTGCCATTGTTACAGCCTTGCACCAGTGCTTTCTCAACAAACACCAGAAAAATGCACCAGGGATGTGTTTGTCAGCAGTTTGGAAGAACCTCTGTGCTGCTGTACCTCTGTGCTGCTGTCCTTTCTATCTGTCACAAACACATCCTTCCCCTGCATTGCTGTAAGTACCTGTGGATGAAGCCAGGGAATGGCTATAATCAGGAGAAAAATACAAGAGGAGCTTCTTAGGACCTTTAAGAAGCAGAACAACAGACAAAACAGAATAGCTACATTATCATAATGCAAGGGATTTGCCATTCTAACACCCCTTATGTTAACACATGTTCACTAAAAACATACCACAACCATATTAAAATAACTCCTAAAATGTCCCATTACTTGCTTACCCCACACTGCCATGTGAAGAATATGCAGGACAGTAGAAGGTTTCTAAGAGTACTGTATTTAGGGTAAGACAACAGTCTGTCTGTTTTTATTTTTAAGCACTAAAAGTCTCTCATGACAAAGCATGGGTTGTACAGTGCTGTATCAGTAAGTCACAGGTGTACCTTTAATGAGCAGGTGAAATGCATACAGTTTTTGAGAGAGGTCAGTTATTCTTAAGGCATGCATTTTCAGTTCAAAACCAGCAGATAATTAAGCAGATGTGTATTGAAAATAAGAAAACATCGTATTCCTTTGTCTCTTACATACTTTTCATAAGACTGGCTTGATTTTCCAATTGTTCCTGATGTTTCTGGGATAAAAAGAGAAGCAGAATTATCCTCCTGTATGATGCATGTTTGATCTTTATAGGGTTTTTTGGCTTGCTTTCTATGAAAGCTGCATTCCAAGCAGTTCTTTCTGCTCATGAATATAGAATTACACTACTGTAAATGTTACATATTGCTTTACATTCTAATTGAGGAGCTGGTGTTCTACCTGGGTAAGTGCCCATCAGCATTAGATGACACACAATTAAAGAAGAGTGTCTAAAACTAATTTTCTAAGGCAAATGTTTAAAATCACATCTGTGCCTATTTTTGGATCAAAACCCCTTATCAAGCTGTACACTGGCTTTCCTTGCAAATCCGAATGTGCAGACCATGGCAATATGAATCATCAGCCTGCCTCTGATCAGCATTCAGGGTATATTCTGGTTTGTGTATAATACTAATTGAGTTTGGCTTTGCACCTGAAAGCACACACTTTATTTTGACTGCATGGGAATATCATACAAGGAAAGACTGTTCTATATTTCAATGAAATTTACTGTACATTTGAGGAAATCATTAAGAGTAATTTTTTTTCCCTCAGGGCTGCTGCAAGCTTACATTTTGGTTCATGGGAGATGAATTCTATTCCTAAAACTAAAATCAATGTTTCATTATTCTGTGATACTTATGTCACAGTAGTACTTAGAGCCTTCTCTTGCTGTTCCTGCAAAATTCTTCCAAAATTCGGTAAATCATAATAATCTCCAGAGTCACTATTTGCACATGCTAAGCAGATGGTTCCTAAGAGATGGCTGCTTAAACCACACGGTATTTAGCATGCTGTTTGGGGCTTTGCAATTGCTTTTTTTGGAAGCCAGGGGCTGCTCTGGTCCCTGGCAATTCTGCGAAGTTGAGGGAGATTGTTTTTGTGGGTTACTTTTTCTTTTTCTTTTAATGCATCCTTCTCTGATATGATGGAAGGTGAATTAGCCTGACTGAAATGGAGAGGAAGAGAGGTGCATGAAGATACAGAAATCTTAGGCAGTTAATGGAGAATAATGGTGCAGAGGGGAACTGGGACCAGCAGGAGGGATAAAACAGTGAGAGGATTAATCCTGGTCTTGAGGAACACATTACTTACAGGAGTGGAAAATGAACGGGGAGAAATGTCTTTCCCCATCACCACACATCACCCCTCTTTGTGTTTCTGTGTCTCTTCTGTTGCCACAGAAGACTAGTGACAATCACAGTAAAGGGAGTGTTTTATTGTCCCTTGAAAAGTTTCCTTCTCAGCTTGTGAGGCCAAAGCCTGTATATTAGGTCTTCAGATCTCTCAGTGAGTCCTCTGATAATAATGTATTCAGGGACTCATGTTGGGGGTGGGAAGCCATTTGTTTTAGAGACATTTTCCCCCACCCCCAGCCCCATTCCAGAATTTATATACAGATATGTATTAAAGAGAATTCCTGTTGCAGAGTCAGGCACTGAAATGTTCTGTTTGGGACCTAAATTCAGGTCCCAAAATGACATTAATTTGGCCTTAGTGTAAATATACATTTTACTTGCATGCTGACACATTAGCTTTTTTTAGGATGAAGCCATTCATTTTTAGGTGTCCAGGGTCAATTAAGGAAGGAATCAGAACTGTGGAATGAGTCTGTTCCCTGGAGGCCAGACCCTGTGTCTTTTGCTGTAGGTGCTGGAATGTTGCTGTGACTGGAACAAGAGGAAAGATGATTTAAAGAACAGACTCAAGAGTTACATAGCTGTACACCCCCTTGCACACCAGACTTTGTCCTTGCCTCTCACTGCTATGCCTGGCTGCGTGAAGACTCATATTGGAGAGCTGAGAAAGCAGAGTTTTGTCTGGGTAAAAGTATGGGAGGAAAGGGCTTGAGTGGAGAACAGCTGCAGTAAGGTGGGTGAACTCAGCTTTGGCTTCTGAATTTGTTATCTGTCTTCTTGTCAGGGCTGGGAGATCCTCTGAGTGAAAGAGAAAATCAAGGTAAGTGACACTAATCCCTGGGTCACTGATCTGTAGCCAGAGGTCCAGGTGGCATGGAATGGCCTGGACAAAGGTGAAACTGGCTGCAGCTTGATAGAGGAAAGGGAGTAGGATATGAAGAATGGCTAGGCTTTGGCACAATCAAACTCACAGATGTGAGAAAAAAGGTAATGAAAAAGGGAAACCTTCAGTAAGGTGTTGTTCAGGGTCGAGAGTGGCTGCTAAGCTCCAGTTTCTCTTGGTATAGCTTTGTAATTTCTTCCCATTTGCCATTGCTGAGTCTCTGCTGCTTTCAGCGTTCTTTGGGGATGCCACCAGCCCGCTGATGCATCAGCCACAGACTGTAAACAGAGGATTACCTGGAAAAAAAAAAAAAAAAAAAGTCGATTAGTTCTTATAAGGAAAAGAGCGCTTCCATTTACACTGACTGCGATGTTTTGGGGTTCCTTTGCCTCCAGTTCTTGGAAAGAGCCTACCAAGGGGCTCGCTGGCTCTCTGGGGACGCGCTCGGCCAAATGACGGGGCCGTATCCCCACCTCTGCCGGGCAGCTGCACAAGGTGCAGTTGCGTCCTACGTCCATGTCAGATCCCGAGCATTCCGCTCTTTGTTGCTGCGTCCTGTTTCCCTTTTCCCCTCGCCTCAGACCCGCTGTAGGCTCCCACCGCTCCTCTGCCGCCTTCCCCGCGGCCCCGCGCGTTCGCCCGCGGGAGGAGACGGGGAGGCGGGACGGGGAGCGGGGAGGGAGGCGCGGGCGGCTGCCGGCGCTCCGGGCACCCCCGGGCACTCCGGGCACCCCCGGGCTGTCCGGGCACCCCCGGGCACCCCCGGGCGCTCCGGGCGCTCCGAGCGGCTCCCGGCGCTCCGGGCATCCCGGAGGCGGCGGGGCCGCGGGGCGGCGGTGTCGGGCAGCGCTGCCGGGCGCTCCCGCCTCGCCCCGCCGGGACGCGGCACCGCGCAGGAGCTGCCGCCGGACGCGGGCAGCCACCTAGAGCACTGGTGTGGCACTTTGGGAAAACCGGCCAAAAATCCCTGAAAAAGCAGCTGGTGGTGCTGGCGCCAGGCTGGGTTAAACATATGGGTGTTACCCGGCCAGCATAGCGAGCATGAAGTAATAGAGTATTTCTGCCCCAAAGAAATGGTCCGGTTCTGCGCTTTGGGGTTTTGTTCACCTTCCACAGAGGGAAAAGCGAGGCAGAAGGTGCCAGCAGCCCGGGAGTGCCCAGGTGCGGCACTGGAGTGCAGGGAGTCAGAGGATTCCCGAGCAGCAGCGGCAGCAGCAGAGTGTCTCTGAGCAAGTGTCAGAGTGTCTTGGCAACAGTACAAGATGTCTGCAACTTTCCTTCACTTATGCAGAAAACACGTCGTGTAGGCAGTGCAGTGGTGCGTGAACACAGCAGTGTAGGCTTGGCTTTGAAATATTTGCGTTGAAAGCAAAGGCTTGTTTGGTCGGTGTAGGGAGACTGAAAATTTTGTGACAGAGGCTATGGCATTTCTCTCCCTGGCCATTAATTGGTTGTTACAAATCTGCAGTGCAGTAATTCTCTCTCTCTTTTTTTCCCCCTTTCCCTCTCCTTTCTTCTCCTTCCAATTATTTGTTCTGATAGTAATATTAGTTTTCAGTGGTGTAGAACATGAACTAGTTTCTTTGGTAACCAAGTCGGTTACACACCCACACAAAGTTAGAATCTGCTAGGTGCAGACATTTTCTCTTTCAGAAAAGATGTGGGTTTTGAAAAGCACAGCAGTAGGGCAGCAATATATGTCTCAGGGAGTTGTTTCAGAAGTCCCATATACCATATGCAGATTTATATGTAAGTCCTGCTCTTTTGTTTACACACACATGTGGAACTTGAATATACTACCTATACTATACTATTCTCCAGTGATTTCAGGATTATTTACTTCTTGTCCCAATATTTCATTCTTCCCACTTTCTCCCTAACTCCTACCTACTTGTAGAGAATAGGTGGCTGTGAAAAAGCACGCAGTAGGGGTACAGTACAGGTGAATAAGCCTGCAAATATACGCTGCATTTCTTCTTAATTTATTTGGTGCAAGTAAAAATTTGCCCCATTTCTTAATCTGCTCCCTGAAATTAAAGAGACAAAATTCAGCAGCTTTTGTAGAGAACTTATTTTTAGGGATTTAAGTAAAATATTGACCCTTCTGTTTTGGATTTTGAAAGCAAATAGCTTCATGCAGGATTAAAACCAATTTGTGAGTATGAATTGTAACAATTAATGTGACTAATAATCCCTGTCATATTGTCTTGATCATGATCAGTAGTTTGGTCTGTAGCAGAAGCAGAAACTTGTAGACTTTTATTGCATTTTCTCTGGTGACACGTCAAATCCTGACAAAATTAAAACATGTACATTTTTAAACATCTTCTTGTTCTTGTGTATGAGGCAAGAAGGCACTAGTACCTGAGAACTGAAAGATAGCTATAAACAGAGACTGAGCCTGGCAAGGCCATTTCATTGCTCTTGTCTGAATGAAGTGTTAAAAATGAAACAATAAAGAGGTAAGAGTGAATTAGAAGTCTTACTTCTTTCCTTTCCTGTTCTGAATCATCAGTTATAATAGTAGTTATGTTTTTAGTTAAATATGGTTTTTATGCTAATGTAATGCCTTTTAACTGCAGTTCTTCCAAAGAGGGAAAAGCCTGACACAAATACAGAGAGCACCTGAAAGTACTCTTACGCAGTGCTTGTTATTTCAAAATAACCCTTCCTGTGCCACAGCAAAGTACATAACATGCAGTGCATTTCTGCACTAGAAAGGTGGAAATGTTACATTTCACAGTTCTCAGGAGCCTGATAGAGATTGAGCTGGGTGGTGTGCAGTAAGCACTTTTTACAGTACTGTGTGATTAAAATTTAATCTATTATAAATAAAAGGTAATGAAAATATTAATGGTAAGGAAAACCTGACTTGAACAAACTGACGCTTATTGCTATTTTCCTTTGGGTTCTTTGTTGTCATCCCGTGGTCACATCACTTTCCTAAGCCTGCAGGGAATGTTTCTCTCTGGTCTCCTGCACATTCTGCTGTCTCCTCCTGGTGCCAGACAGTTCTTTCTGCAGCATCTTTCCCAGGCTCTTCCTGTCTCTCATTGCCATAGAGACAGTGTGTGCCTGTTAGAGTCACTGCAGAGATGTGCTCATCCGAGCCCAGGGATGGCTGGAGAAGGCAGGCCATGGGCAGACCTGGAGGCTTAGGGTGCCATGGAGAGAATTTTGTGCCCAGGTCCTGATCTGTGTAGCTGTTTCAGTACAGAAGGGCAACACACTTCAGAAATGCTCCACAACTGGAATGAGCCAAAAGGCTTAAGGAACTTATTCCCAATGCCTTGGGTCATCTGAGGCATTTCTGTTAAAGATGACACACAACCTTAGTTCATATTCTCAGTAGTAACCAAAAGGATGCTTAGAGCAGGAGGGCTGGATTTTAATTCAAGAAGTAAGCAAGGACTCAAGGCAGCTTTGATTCCTGTCTCTGGCCTGGCGATTCTGTGTGGTTCTGACCAGATTGTTTCCCTTATTTTCTTCTCTTCAGATTAAGGATGTTGTTTTATTTTCTCCCTCTGTAGGGTGAGAGCCTAAAGTCATCATCTGATGTAATCTCCATGCACATACACACTCCACATTTGCTCCAGAATCAGCCAGTTGCAGCCCCTGAGCAATTCCACAATCTTGAGCACCTTTGGTGCCTTGCCATGCATGTGTAGCCTCCTACATCCTATGTGGAGAGGCAGGTTCAGGCCAAGATACCTCAAGGGGTGGTCCACCACCAGGTTTCCTCAGTCCTGCTTGCAGTAAGCAACACTGGCACTTTGGGCCTGAAGTGCAGTTGGAGCAGCAGGAGTGGAGGTGCCAAATACTTGGTGACAGTGTTTCCTGAGAATAAGCATCAGCTTAGTGCCAAAGCTGAAGTTGCACTGCTGTCCCAGAAGTGTATATGGTTACTCCTGTGGTGGGCAGCAGCTGTAGGGCAGAATGCTGTTTCTGCTGAATTGGTGCAGGCCCTCTGCAATGTTTGCATGTGGGAGAAGAAGTAGTGGGAAAGAAATGGGGAGCAGGGTGAATCATGCCCCTGCTTTCCCCACATGGCCGTGGCACTGGAGATACTGGGGCAGAGCACTGCACCAGGGACAGACCCAGAACATGTGGCATGTCTGTGTGCAGGCATCTGTGCAGAGACCCTTGTCCTGTGCTGGCCAAGTGTTGTCCCTGATGGTGAGACAAGGTTAACAAACATGCACTCAGGCTAATAAAGCTTGACTCTCAGTGGGGCTAATTAGCTTCTCTACAGCAACATGGCAAAATAAGTGGCAGCTCTGCAGCTAAATCACTGGGCACAGTCCCATGCAGAGCTGCTCTGCCTTCCTTGTCTGCTTAGAGAGCATCTCCTATTCATGCAGCAGTGGCAAAGTCGTGAGGACAAGTTGCCTTCGAGGAGTTGAGGTGCAAAGGTGGTATCCATCATTATTGCTCTTTCTGAAATGGTAGCTAAAAATAGCAAAGGGCATAATTTACAGATACATTTTTGTATTGATATTCTAACACTTTAATCCCTGGTTAGCTCTATTTTCCTGCTCTCTCTTATTTTCTCTGTCTCTTCATGAAACATATCTTAGTCCACAACAGCCCTTAAAAATGTATAAGGGATGTAAAAATGTATAAAATGTTAGCATGTGGGCTGCAGTAAGCACTGCTGTTACTGGTGGTGAAGAGAAACCAGCTTGGAAAAAACTTAGGTAGGTACACAAAGAAGATGGCGAGAACCTGTGCCTACAAAGTGGATGTGCCAAGGCATGTCTAGGAAGGAAATAAGTGGTCAAAAAAAGGAAGGGATAGGGCTCAGTTCCTCAGTTTTTATGCTCCCAGCCTTCTCTTGTGAATTAGCACATGAAATTCGTTGTACAGCCCTAATATAGAAAAGCTCCAATATGACCCTTTATTACTTTTACATTTGTGTCTACATGCTTATGTCTGCTTATTTACTGAAGCCAGAACTGCTGTCTTCACCATGAGGGTAAGGGATGGAGGATGTGGCTCACTTACCCTCAGTTTGTGGAACCCATCTGTATATCTGGTCCCTGGGTCAGGTCTGGATTTCCTTTGGTTTGGAGCCTCTCATTGCTTAGGGCTGGCAAACAGCACCTGCTCTGAAGTGCCTAATGTCACCAAGGCCTTTTAAGAGCTTTACAGTGCTTTCATCAAAACTTGGATTAAGCTCATAATAATATCCTCTATATGCTGCAAGTACATTAACAGACTTCTCTGAAACAGAACCTGCTTCCATTACTCTGGTTCCTGTGGCACACAGGAATTATTGCCTCCCAGAGAAGTGTTAAGTGAAATGTTGCCAGGGGATTATCACCTCCCTTTCCTGCATGTTTTGCTAAACTGAGCAGGAGAAAAGGAGCTCTCACTGCCCTGCTAGGAAGCCTTGAGGAGGAATTCTGGTTTGTAGTTTCTTTTCAATAAGAGGGCGAGAAACATTGTTTTGCTGTATGTTTTTCTGGTAAGAAGGGCTGTTCCACAGCTCACCTCCAACACTTCTAGCTGCCTTTGTGGAAAACAAAGCCTGGTCCAGGAAGATTCACCTAATGTGAAGCTTTCCCTCTCCTCATTTCCTCATATGCTTCAAATATGTGTCCAATGGAGTTTTACATACATTGTAAGCAATCATACATTGCTTACAAGAACTAATGGTAAATT